GCATTCCTTTGAGCATACGATGTGATTCCTCCTTTGCAGCTTGTTGCAGGTTCTCACAGTTGGTGAAAATGAATGTGGAATGATTCTGTACGGTTGGCATGATACGGGCCAGGAGGCTTTGAAACTGTCTTCAGCGAACTACAGCCGTGTGCATCTAAGCACTGAAGATTTGGTGGAAACTCTGGAACTGATGTAAGACTCGTACAATACTTCAGGTCCAGCCATTTAAGTTGAGAAAGCTGACTGATTCCATCAGGAAGGTAGCTGATCTTAGCATTCCTGCTTAAGCACAAATACTGCAGTGAGGGTAATTGTGGCATCACTTCAATGGCTGTCCCATCCAAAAGTAAAATGTTTAAAGAGCTCATGTTGATTTCTGGGAAAATCTTGAGATTTAAACAATCAGAGAGTATCAGTTCTTGAAGAGCTTTCAGCTCACCAACACGGCCTGGGATTTCCTCCAGCATTTTGCAGTCTTTCATATTCAGTACAACAAGTCTCTGGAGCTTCTCCATGTTCGTAGGAAGCTGACTTATTGCTGTGCCATCTAAGTATAGAGTTTCTATATTATCTGAAATCAACGGAAATTCCTTAAAAGTTGAGCAGCCGCTGAGAGTAAGTGTTTTCAGAGAAATCAAATTCATCTCTGGAAGAGATTCGAGACTTGTGCACCCCTTCAGATTCAGGAAAGCAAGCATTTTCATTTTTTTCATATCGTGTGGCAACGCTTTCAGTGTTGTGCAACCTTCAAGGTTCAACCTTTGAAGCTTTTCAGCTTTTGATAACCCTGACAAGCTGCACAACTTACTTGAGTGATTGAGATCAACCCACCTTAAGCATGGTGTATCCTATTACAGAAAAAGAAAAAAAAGAAAACATTTAGCCACCAGTCAAAAAAACCTATCCTTGTAAATTAACCATTCACAAAAGCAATCAACAGATTATTCAGAGACACACCTTGTCACCATCCCAAAGTTGTTCAATCTCACTGTAGGGCAGCCTAAGGTCGACAAGATTAATCGGGTTGAAATCGTTTGGAAGTGTCTCCAATGGGAATTTCAGCCAGTGGAGGCATCGAACCTCTTTCAATGGTAGCTTAAGTT